CCACCCAAAGAGTTCAATCCAAACGCCTCTGGCATCTCTCTCCCTCCCGGCCGAAGGTCTCACAATCCCAAACCCCATCCGTGAGCCTAATATCCTACAGGCCCAATCTGAACAGTCTGTGGCTTCAATGCAAAATATTACGGTCCTAAAATTTCAAGAATTCTGAAGTCTCCTCCCCAAGAGAGCAGTTGGCACCCCCCACTTCTCTCTTCTCATCCGGCCATTCTGATTTGACCCTGTGGACCACACACTTGCAGGAGATAACTAAGGGCGCCTACAGCAGGGCCCCCACCTGCCCTGCCTGTCGGCCCACATCTGTAGGTGAGCTCCGCCCAGGCTCAGGCCCGCAGTGCCGTTTATTCTCCCTCATGTGCCAGGTTAGAGTAGGCGGCTGGGCTGCCCTGGACTCCCTTCCTCAGACCTGCCACCACCTTTGCCCCTTGGGACGCGCACTTCCCTCCCCAACTCCCCCTGCCGCCTTTTCTCGCCCATCAGCCGCCAACAAGCCCCAGAGCCTGTGATCGGGTCCAGTCTTGTCTCCTCGCGGGAGGAGTGAGTGAGCCAGTGATAAACACATCTGTGATCCTTTCCAAGACGCTCAGCCAGGCGCAGCTGCAGGCTGGCTCCTTTTCTCCTGTGGGTTCCCCACTTCTGCTCTGCATGGGACCCATGGGAGCCTGTTGTGGGGGGAGGTCCTGGAGTAGGACCCCATGCCTTTGAATAAGTAGCACACTGCAGGATCCCGGGGCATCTCCTGTGTGTGATGTCTCCTGGTCCTGACCAGCAGGTTGAGGCTCAGTCCCATTTGACAGATGGGGAAATTGAGGCCCCAAGAAGGGATGTGACCTAGAGCTGATATATACCGAGCCTCACTTACCCCAGGTTGTCCTTTTCCCTGACCACTTGGGTATGTGTCTGGGTCCTGGCTGAGTGGCATGGCACTGCCCTGGGTGCCCAAGGGCCAGTGGAGACCCTCTCTGGGCTTCCATTTGCTCCCCACAAAGGGGCCAGACTGAGTTGCTCAGGCCTTTGCCTGTGTATACCTGAATTCTGCCTCTTGGCTCTGGAAAATACAGAGTGCCTGGTTGAACTGCTGCTCCAGGAAGCCACCTTTAGGGGTCCTCCCGAGCTGGAGTTAGGTAGGTGGGGGAAACTTCAGCTGAGTTCCCCTGAACTAGGAGATCCATTCCTGCTTGGAAACATCAAGGTGGGCCTGGCCTGCACTCTCCCCAGACTCCATTCCTGAGGCAGTTTCTATGATCTCTGTCCCTCTCCTGCTCCAGGACCATCGGGGGCCCCCCAGTGACCATAAGGCACACAGCTGTTTATCTTTCTTTATGTAGAATGCCTCTATGCCAGGCTCTGGTGCACAGCTGTGACTGAGACACATAGGGTCTCCTTCCTGTCAAACTTATTGTCTAGGGAAGGGAGAAAGCCCCAGAACAAGGCACTATCTAAGAGAAGGCTAGGAAGGAATGGAAAGAGGAGCGTCTGTAAGGAGGGGACGTCTGAGCAGTGCACACTGCAGGATCCCGGGGCATCTCCTGTGTGTGATGTCTCCTGGTCCTGACCAGCAGGTTGAGGCTCAGTCCCATTTGACAGATGGGGAAATTGAGGCCCCAAGAAGGGATGTGACCTAGAGCTGATATATACCGAGCCTCACTTACCCCAGGTTGTCCTTTTCCCTGACCACTTGGGTATGTGTCTGGGTCCTGGCTGAGTGGCATGGCACTGCCCTGGGTGCCCAAGGGCCAGTGGAGACCCTCTCTGGGCTTCCATTTGCTCCCCACAAAGGGGCCAGACTGAGTTGCTCAGGCCTTTGCCTGTGTATACCTGAATTCTGCCTCTTGGCTCTGGAAAATACAGAGTGCCTGGTTGAACTGCTGCTCCAGGAAGCCACCTTTAGGGGTCCTCCCGAGCTGGAGTTAGGTAGGTGGGGGAAACTTCAGCTGAGTTCCCCTGAACTAGGAGATCCATTCCTGCTTGGAAACATCAAGGTGGGCCTGGCCTGCACTCTCCCCAGACTCCATTCCTGAGGCAGTTTCTATGATCTCTGTCCCTCTCCTGCTCCAGGACCATCGGGGGCCCCCCAGTGACCATAAGGCACACAGCTGTTTATCTTTCTTTATGTAGAATGCCTCTATGCCAGGCTCTGGTGCACAGCTGTGACTGAGACACATAGGGTCTCCTTCCTGTCAAACTTATTGTCTAGGGAAGGGAGAAAGCCCCAGAACAAGGCACTATCTAAGAGAAGGCTAGGAAGGAATGGAAAGAGGAGCGTCTGTAAGGAGGGGACGTCTGAGCAGTAATTTGAACTTGGAGAAGGCAGCCACAGGAAGATCGGAGGGGACAATGCAAAGCCCCCACTCCCTGGCCTGGCAGGTGACCTTGCAGGCTCCCTGCCTGCTATTTCCCCCTGAGGGACCCACAGAACAGCCAGTGTGGACCCTGGACTGGGCCTTTGGCCAATACCTCCCCACACCATATGTTGGTTGCCTTCACCTCTCCTCTCTGCCCTCTCAAACCTCACTCATCTGTTGGGGCCCACCTCCTCCAGGAAGCCCACCAAGGTTGGCTTTATGACCTCTGAAAGCTCCAGCATCTGCATTACCCAGGAGCTGCCCTCAACAGCACCCATGACCCATCCCTGCTGGAGCTGTGTGACTTCACAAACTCTTTCCCATTCCATATGCACCAAACTTTCTCACCTATGCAAGGCATTCTCTCCTTTCATTCTCCCAGTGGTCCAACAAGCCACAGATAAGAAACAGGCTGGGAAGCCATTCGCTTTCCTTTGGTCTGCCCGCAGGGAGTTAGAGCTTCAAGGGGAGGAGGGAACCTGTGACCTGTGACCTCAGCCCTGAGGAGTGATCTGAACCCAGAAACAGTGAGGAATGAGCAGCAAAGAACCCCGGAGGGCTGTGCTGGCCCAGGGCAGGCGCTCCCAGCCACTGGACCCCACAGGTATGGCCTTCTAGTTTACATGAGGACCTCACCCTGGGGCAGGCCAGGTGAGCAGCTCTGCCTGTGTGACTCATGGAACAACTGGGGAGGTTCTGACACACAGGATGTGGCCAGAGGCTCGAGAGGCAGAGGGAGGGGAGGTGCCCTCAGCAGGCCTTGCTCCCCAGCAAGATGTGCACGCTATCTCCAACACCACTTACCAGACAGACTCCCTCCCGCATGACACATTGACACTTGCTTGCACAGCTTGTGATCACACCCGTCCTGTGCTGGGGACTGTGTGCCAGGCCTGGGGTGAGTGATCTGCTCGGCTCAGAGGACTCTCCTGCCAGTGCCCCTTCCTTCTTGGGCAGGAATGAATGACAGGGTTGGGATCTGAACCCAATGCCAGCCCGCGCTCTGAGCTCTGACCACTGAGCCACCACTGCAGTGCGTGGTATGCAAAGAATGTCGGCTCGAGAGCCAGAAGCACTGGGTTCAAATTCTGACTTTGCTTTTAGCTCTGGGAATGTCGGTACATGGCTTAACGGTGCTGTGACTCAATGTCTTCCCCGTGGACAGGGGATAATGACGATACCGTTTATAGGGGCACCGTGAGGACTGAGCAAGCTGGTACAGCCAGAGCTAGAGACTGCCTGGCCCATGGGCATGCTCTAATAGAAGGGCTGTGCCACACTCATCTGCCACCCTAGTGGGTGGTTCACGGCTCCCCAAGCTGATAGATGTATGTGTTTGAGCCTTTGGTGATCTTTCTTTTAGACCTTTTCTGTATTTTTAAAGAGTTACTGGTGACTACTGGTTTTGAATGCCAACACTTACAAATGAAGTGAACACATGTACAATTCTGAGTCTGAAGTCAGAGGGTCTGGCTGCCACAGGCCGCAGATAAGGACCCGTGGGTGGGGCCTGCGTTCCTTGGCCCAGCAGGCCCTGTGCCTGACTTCCCTTGTTCCTGTCACTCTTGTTCCTAACTGGCCCCTGCCAGGTACCGGCATTTGCGGCCCAGTAGCGCGTGCACACGTGCTGTCACTGCAGTGGAACATCCCCCACCCAGGCAGCATAGAGCCCCCCTCCCTGCTGCCCTGGCTTACAGACCTCCCTGTGGACCTCCCACCCGACTCAGAGCCTTTGATCTCCCAATACCTCCTGGGCCTGGGGGCTGCAGAGTGGGCGCCCAGCACTTCGGCCTTCACAGGCAATTCCAGAACCCATTGCCAGCTGCAGGCCTCAGCCCTGGGCACTGCCTGAGCCAGGGAGCACTCACTCGGGTGCCCTGAGATGCCTGGCCAAGTGGCTGCTGCCTGAATACTTCCTAGGATGGGGGTCTCACTCCTTTCGCAGTATCTCAGTCTCTTTCTTGGTGGTGATGGCTTGCCCTCCTGCTGGCAGGACCTGCCTTTCAGCGACACACCCAACCCATGGGTGCTCATTCTGTACTCTGGACCTGCAGACCCAACTGTTCCCTTGCTTCAGGACAACCAGCTCCACAGGATGGGTGTCCAGCCTCCTTTATATTTCAAACACCTCCACTAGAAACATCCTGGAACACCCCTGACTCTCTTCCAAACTCTGCCCAGAATTCAGGAGTATCTGAGGAAGAAGTAAGGAAGGAATGGTCACCTCCTTTATTTCAAGTTCCAGATCTTGGTTAAGATGCCCAAGACGTGTTAGTGGCCCTGGCAACTGCTCCATAGGAATGACTTCTCTGGAACTCACTCAACCCAAGCCCATAATCAGAGTTTTATGGCTGATTTTGGACCCAAGGATAAAAATTCCCATCCATCCTTCTTTCCATCTTGCTGAGTAGCATCCAATTGGCTTTAACAAAGACTCAGTTTTTCAACCTTTCCAACAACTGACCAGCTTCACAGCACACACAGATCCTGACCAATGCAAATCTGTGACAGTCAGGCAGAATGAGGCTAAGGGCAGAGCCCTGAGGCTCACCGCCAGATACCCAGCCCCAGCCATTAAGAAGAAGCTGTGTGGAGGCATCTCTGCAAAGGGCCGCCCGGCCCCCCTCCCTGGCTGCCTACCTTTCGGCCTGCCTCGTTATTGTGTAAGTTCATGAGAGTCCGGGCATTCTGCTTGATCTCCCGGGCATCCACAAAGACCTTGGCGAAGCCGATGCCGTAGCGGATGTCGGCAGAGCAGCCACCCCACTTCCAGCCCTCGTCCCGCTGGTACTGGCCTTGCTTCTCCTTGTCGCAGCCGCAGTCGCTCAGATTGCCCTGGGTGCAGGCGGCCGTGATGGCGTGGGCCACACCGGCAGCAATGATGGCGTACGTGAAGGCAGCCTCCCGGCTCCCTGCAAGGAAAGTGGAAACACTGGGGTCAGGTCCAGGGGCAACCTGGGTGAGAAGGAATGCTGAGCTCCATGGGCAATGGCTCCACGAAGGTCGACTGAGCGCATGTTCCTTACCTCCAGAAACGCTCCGTGTGGCGACAATGACTGGACCCCCCATTATGCACACACCCACTCAGTCCCCAGTGCCTGCTGCCCTTGGGGAGTGGACTGGGCCGCAGAGGAGAAAGGCACGTGGCCTGGGTGCCCAGCCTCTGGACGGTCAGGTGAGTGGACCCCTCTGGCAATTACCACCCAGTCCCCTCCACACTTGATGCGGCTGTATGAACTGTACATATTCAAATGCTCATGGCATCTGGTGAAAAACTGTAAAGAACATCGCTGGAACACCTGCAGTGTGGACAGGCCCCGGGGCCATGGGGTGGGGGCTTAAACTCCAGGAACATCAATCTCTGGCTCTCTGACTTCCAGCCAGGCCCCACCCTGTGTCTCAGTCTCCTCAGCTATGAAATGGGGACATAGGCATAGCATCTGTCTCATAGCTATGACGGAAAACTGTTAGAGCTTATCCGTGTAAAGCTCTCAGCTCTGTGCTGGCTCTTGCCACCTGCTGACACAGCAGCTCTTATTCTCATGGCCCCTGTTATCACTGCTGTGAGTCACCTGCCATTTATAGGTCCATCCCATCCTCTTCCCTGTGGACTTGCGAGCCTCTCCAGGGAAGCCTAGGACCTGGCCCTCTTCGTGTCTGCATCCTCAGGATTAAAGGAGAGAGTGCATGTGAAATGCTTAATCCAGGCAGGCCAGCTCACCAGTGTCCCTGGACTGGGCACTCAGGGAGGTGGAGTCTCTGCCCTCTCCTCTCCCAACTGCACCTCAACTTTTGGGACTTGCTAAGTGGATTAATTGGACACCAACTGCGTTTCTTACTGTACACATTACGGTATTGGTATTAGAAACCATGTGTGCACAACATGTGCCCACGGAGGGCCTGAGGCAGAGTAGCACAGATGGGCACCCACAGGATAGACGTGCACAGCCGGCCTCTGTTCTAGCAAATTGGCAGGCTGGATATCTGACCACACTTGTGTTATGTGAAATTAAGAAATGCTGCATAAAATCTACCAGTGTTTGGCCAAATTCACAGGAAGGCAAGGGAACCCATCGAGGCTATAAATTGGAGATGGAACTGAACCCCAGCAGGGCAGATAGGAACAGAACATGACCATCTTATGCTGCTAGGCCCTGCATAATAGGGAGCTTTCGAATGAAGACCACAGACAGGAGACCAGGCCTCAAGTCCTGAAGAGGTGGGGCCTTAGAAAGGTGATAACTTGATGGATGGACTCCCAGAGACAGGGTAGCCTGGGGTCTCCCAGAGTCCCAGTGGAGCTAGGCACCAGCAAGCAGGTCAGACCTGGCCAGAACAGGGGGTACAGGAGTGAGGAAACCAGCATCTCCAGTGAACTGGAGGCTTCATTCCTGCCTTTGCACAGATCCCATTCTCACATTTACCCCATGCGTGCTTCAGGACTCCCAAACCAAGGGGAAAGACGGGTCCTGGGCAGTAATGCTCCAGGACCTGGAGCAGGAATATAAAGCCCCCAGGCACTAGCTCACACTAGAGCATCAAACACACAAGAAAATAATGTACTAGGGACGGCCAACAGTGAGATTAAACCCTCAACAATGCCAGAGAAAAGAATAACCAGATAGAGGGTATAAAGAAAACCAGATAGCTGGTGGGAGAGGGGGAATCCCTGTTCCACTGCTTTCTGGCTGTGTGTCCTTAGGTGAGTAACCTCTCCTCTCCGTGCGGCAGTTCCTCGATTCTAAAATAGAGACAACAGCCGCCTACTTTATTAGGAAAGCTGAGAGGACTAGAAAAAAATTAACAAAGGCAAAGCATTTAGCACAGAGCCTGGTATGAGAAGGTGGCCCCAAATATTAGATGTATTACATTCTGTATTGATGATGGTGGTAACGGCTCCTTATGAGAGGGCTGTGAATATAGAGTGGGAGTTTTCATTTATCTTCATTCACAGCTGAGGAAACTGAGGCAGAGAGAAAGGTCAGGCCGGCCCAGACCACCCAACTGGGGGGCAGCAGAGCTGAGCTGCAGAGGCCCCCAGGTACCCCATGCAGACCAAGAGCTGTCCCCAGGGGTTAAATGACTCCACGGTGCAGCAGGCATGCTGGCAGACCCCAGCAGCTGAAAGGAGAGGGCGCCCCCCATCAGACTGAGAATGGAGGGTGCAAGTTGAGGAGGGGTGGGGGGCCTGGCTGTCCACTGAGATTGCCCTTCCCCCACGCTCCTCCCTGGGGGCGGGACCAGAGGCGGGCGGGGGCTACCCCCCAGACCCCTTTGTGGTCATTTGTGTGCCAGGATCCTCTGTGCAGCAGGTGTCGGGCCCTGGGTCTCTCTCTGCCCTCAAGCAGTGCGTGACGAAGCAGTGATGGGGACAGACAGCCAACTAAACACAAGGGCAGTGACAGTGGCTTCTGTTCCCAGGCATGTCCCCCATCCCAGCCCCTAGGTGAAGAAGGACAGCTGCACCCCAATATGTTTAACTCCCCTGAGCTCAAGGGGGATTCTCAGAGCAGAGTGGGCCAGGGCCTTCCCGTCCCAGCCAAGCTGGCCTTCACCTTGCCCTCTGAGGTGCAAAGGCTGTGGCTGAGGGGCCAAGAGACAATGAGCTGCACAGCTCTTGGTTTCAGAGCTCCCAGGGACCCAGGTGCTGGGGGTGGAAGTCCAGTGCTCCTGGATGCTAACGGGTCACTATTGACCCCTGCCAGTGACCCTGATGTTGGCCTTGCTCACTAACATTAAACTAGCCCTACTCGGTCCCACCTCCCTTTCTCCCTGTCCCCCCAGTGGTCCAGTGAGGAAACTGGCCTGGGCCTCAGGCTGGCCACGTAACTAACACCAGGCCTCTGACCTCTCTAAGGCTCTGTTGTTTCCTCTGTGAAATGGGCACAGTAACAGCACCCTCTCATCAGGGGCTACCGAGTGGGCTGTGCCACAGAACTAGGGGAAGGTGCCAGCACAGAGCCTGGCAAGTATTAAGTGCTCAGTAAGTGCCGAGCATTGTTATTGTCTTTGTTACTGCCATTATGACCACCGTTTGCCTCCTTGGGCTCCACAGTGCCCCGAAGGACAAGTCAGCCTCACACAGAGGCAAGTGTGTGGGGCTGATCCAGCGTGACTACCCAGCCAAACCTCAGGTTCCCGAGGGGGCAGGGACCATGTCTTCCTGCTCTCACTGTTTGCAATCCCCACTGTAATGGGGGGGTGGGGATGAGTGAATGAGAAGACCTGAGTCCCAGGTTCAACCCTGCCAGAAGCTGGATGACCTTGGGCAAGTCACTTAGCCTCTCTGAGCCTCCATTTCCAGATCTGTCACTATCATCAGACTTTGTGGGAAGAAGTAGGTATCAACTGGCATAGAGCTGTGCTTAAATATACCCTAGTGAGTATTACAGCGATTATATGATGACATTGCAGGTACACTATCAGGAGGTACAGAGAGAAACTCCCCAATTTACTTTTCTTCATAGCCCTCCTGCCATCATAGATTTATTTATTGTCTATGCCTCACACCATGCCTACCACACCAGTGCCCCTTTAGAATATAATCCCCTTCAAGGCAAGCACTTTGTCCTGTTCCCTGTTGTGTCCCTAGGGCCTGACCCCTAGTAGATACTCAGTAAATACCTGTTGAATGAATGGAAGAAAGAAATTTCCAAACAGCGGCCAGCAAGGCTGTGACCTTTACTTAGCACTTACTATTTGCCAGGCTCAGACCTAGGCTCTTTGGAAAAGTGAGCTCTCCTGTTCCTTGGGGAAACAACCCCAGCTGGGCTTCTGGGAGGGTCTGACCAGGCAGGTGTGGATTGGGATGAACTTTAGCCCATTCAGAACAATTTCCCCCCAGGGCATCAGCAGAGTTAGCCAGACAGAGGCTTGGCATTTTTGTGTTTTGGAGGTTGGGGGGAGAAGAGTCGAAAGAATGTAGGACAGGCGGTGACAGGCGCAGGGGGCATCTGGGGTGGACAGCTCCGAGAGCAGAGAAGCCAGCTCGACGCCCTCTGCAGGGAAAGGGCTCCAGGCCCAGAGAGAGCCCGTGTGACGGCCCCGACATGGTATAGCTGGTGGCAGGAACAGGTGAGCCAGGCAGCGTGGGGGGAGCTGAAGCCATAAAAGCAAGCGGCAGGTCCCACTGGCCCGCACCATCCTGCCCTGGGCAGAGGCCCTGCTGTCCTCAGAATCAGAGAACAGACTCCCACAGCCACAGACAGGAAGCCGATGGGTTCCTCCCGGAATGATAGGTTCACAGGTCAGGCAGCTTGCCCAGGCAGACCTTGGGGGATTGGAACCAGGTTCTCCTCGCTCCCAGCATGGAGTACCCACCCTCACCACCGCAGGTTCTCTTATCTCTCAATCCAGCCATATCCCCAGGTAGATGTAACATCCAGAAGCCCAGGGGGCTTCAGCTCAGAACTCGGATAAGACGGAGCTGGTCAGTCTGTCCTCTCTGCTCCTTCATTTGGGTGGCCCTGAGCAATGACCCCACCTCCCCGAGTCTCAGCTTCCCCATCTGTCAAACAGGAAACACCAGGAGAATGCTGCCAAGATGCCAGGAAGGTTCAGTGAAATCTGTGTAAAGAGCCCAGGCCCCTGGAAGGTGCTCAGTAAAGAGCCTTGTTATCACTGAGATGAAAATGGGGAGCCGGCCTGGCGCCCTCCACATGTTCCAGCTCCATAATGATCCCGGCGGGCACAGAGGAAATACACCCATGTCCGAGCTTACCCGGAAGATTCCATTCCACCGCCCTGTGCGGCTGCTGTAAATGGTCTGCACCGGAATATTATCTGGGTGTATTTACGGTATCTTACTGGAAACCACAAAGTGCATTGTATTTTTTTTTCTTTTTCTATTTAAAGCCAATGGGTCAGAGAGTGAGCAATCTGCAGTGACACAAGCTGAAATATATGATGATTT